CGTTCGCGAATATCGCCGCTGAATGAATGCGAGTGTACTGGTTGTGTACGCCACTTTCGATTTCTACGGGCGCCTTGTATGCAGTGTGCGATTGGTTAGTCTATGAGGCAGACAGCGAAGTTTGTATTTCGACGCGGGAGATGTTTCGGCTATGTACATTCATGCGCGTGGCATTCTTCGTCCTGGTATTTTGAACTTCGCGTCGTGTGCTGCCTCCCACAGAGGGAGATTTAGAGGTTGTCAGGTATTGCGTGTGTTTCGAAGGTGTAATCCTTTCACATGCCGTAATGGCATGGGTTCAACTCACTGCGCTTGTATACGTGAGCCCGTATATGCGGACGTACGATGAAGCAAGATTCTTTGATGTGCACGTCATTATCACAAAAGGCAGATTTACGTTGAACTGAACGAATTGGAGGTTGAAAGTATGATGTCTACCTAAAGCTGTATACTTACATAGAACACCAAATTTCCGCTAAGCATACGAATCTGTTCCCCACCTTTTGGTTTTAATGATAGAGTCGTGTTATTGCACATGTGTCTTACAGAAAAACAACTGTTTTGGTAGACGCATGAGCAGTTGGCGCTGTAAATACTATAGCGTGGGCCCGTTATAATTGCTAGTCTTCTAAGTTCTTGTGACCTGCGCGGTACCGCCAACGCAATAAGTGGTTGAAACACTTTTGCAGTACCCTTAATCACACATTTAGGCATGAATACGTCCAAACCACTGCCTCTAAACAGAATGAAAATTATGTGCGACTCCTTTCGGACAGTGCCGACTTGAGATAATACGACTCTCTTTAAAGGGGCACGTGCACTGTCTTGTCCACTCACACGACCCTCAGAAGAGAGTATAATGATTCCCAAAGGAAGTTGACGTGACTCTTTTAAGAAACTAATACAAGTGGCACGTCAGGACTCCCCGAAAGGAGTAAAAGAAAAAAAAATTATGAATGTGTGGGCCCTAGATATAGCGCATGTGTTGTCATTTATTCTTTACGGACTGATTAATCATCTCGCAGCCCCGAGTGATACGCGAGCTAAAGGTATCAACAGCAGTCGATCTCTTCAGCTCTGATGTTGGGATTTTGTCGGGACGGAAATAATGCTTGGACAAATGATACCGTAGGGGTTTTCTCTTCAGATAGACAAGCCAGCTTCTTAAAAGACCGATTCCAGCCGGAAACATCCTCTGTTTATCCAATGTATAGATTCAAGCGGCTAAGTTTGTTGAGAGCTTCGTTTGTACCGGTGCACATCGGCGCTAGCTCTGTGCCAGTGAGAGAAAAGACGACGAGGTTCGTGTGTCGCGCTATCGGCCTCCTGTTTTCTGTGCTATCTTGCTTGCCCTGGCGAGTTTCTTGCTGAAACTCCTCCGAAGAACACGCTTGTTACACGTTATAATTTTTGAAGTCCAGAGGTTCGTCGATCGTTCCAGATCATCGAATGTATCCCGAGTGTCTCATGTTCTCGTTTCCTGATTCACTGCGCTAAGCCGACCTGGAACTTATGTAACTAATACCTGTCGCTTACCTCCCCACCGCAACCAGTTGCGCGTGGCACAATTGCGTTAGCAATATAATGTGGGTAAGTCTCAGTGCTACTTATATTGTATATTGCCGGCTACTCAAGACGCAGGTTTGATCCTGACCGATACGGTCGCATTTCAACGGAGATCAAATGCTCTATGCCAGTGCACTGGGCGATTTCAGTACAGGTAAGAAAACCCACGTGGTCGAAATTTTCCAGAGCACTCCACTAAGGCGTCTCAGCCCACGTCGCTTTGGAACGACACATCGCATATAACCCAAACCTACTTATACATGGCAACATGCCTTTCGTACTCCCTTACTTTCTTCCTCACCGAGATAACGAAACAAGGAACTCCGTCACGGGATTCAGTCGCGACAATCGAGGGGCACTTTCCCACACTAGTGACTGCAAAACCCTGTGTAAGCACCGCACGCTGTCCAGCCGACGATTCAGACCGAGGAGGCTGAGCATGCTTGCTCGTGGTTTATGCGCTGCGTGCTCCTATAATCTCATTTAGAGAGCAGCTGCCGGATGGGACGGCCTCATGCATGGCGTGACGTTGTTCCGTTCCGCGACCCACTTTTTGTTGGGAGCCTCTTCTGCGACACGGTGGTTTGGCGACCTTTGTTCGCCGGACGCTGCGCATCGTCTCGAAGGGAGGAAATTCGAGTCGCGCCCTTCAATCACTCGCGTTTAGCCGAGACGAAAGCGTGGATGCCGAATGAGCCGGAGTGATCGGGCGACCACAATGTATACGAGAGTCCGAATGCTCGCAGGGTGCGGCCTAGAAAAAAAAAGGAAGAAAGAAAGAAAGAAAGGAGGGTGGGGGGGGGGGGGTGCTCGCGAAACGCCGCCACGGTAAACCACTCGACGCGGTATTGGAGGGCACGGCCTGGACGTCAGATCAAAGAGCGCGCTCGGTGTTGCAGCCAGATTGTGCCGTTAAGAGGAACGCGTACTATGCGGCCTGGATGCGTGCGCTGTCTCATGTGCGAGATGGCATAACACTTGTGGCTCAAGCCATATTCGTCTTCTTGACTGCGTGACCCTGCACCACATTTCACTTCGAACTAGACAGTTTGGGCGTCCGGTGTGTGCCAAAGGTTTCACGAGGCTTTGCGATAAATGTAGAGGCGTTTATTTGCCGATTTTCGCCGGTATGTCAGGAGGTGAGGTCTGTATGGAGCTACTGAGTAGGTGACGGAAATACAAGGTCGGTATGCTGGCTTCAGAACGAGCTACACCTTCTTTCGTTTTTTTTACTCTCCCAATTCGAAGCGGCGCTCACTGCTCTACCCACATGCCTCCAATCGAGCACGTTCCCTATCAAGCTGCTAACGGGTGGTATTTGAGAGATTGATCGATATATTTTGCTTTTGTATATACAACAAGTGGCAGAGGCCGTGTCTCTGAGGGAGTGGCTTTGCAGAGACGAAACAGTTTGAGCTGTCAACATTTGAAGTGCGCTCACCTGCAAGTTCAATAGTATCGTTCGTCTGACACCTGATGGAGTGGCACGCGTAACGAATATGAGCTATGCATTAATGAGGTCCCGCAACCCGCCTCCAAGTCTTCACGTTAACCACAATGGACTGTATTCTCTCGCCTCATGTTTTCCTGTTTAGTTAGCTGTTTTGAAGAATCTGTGGCACGGCAACGTAAATCTTATTGAATTTTAGTCGGTGGCATACGGCTTGAATCCTAAACAAGCAAAATAGCGATTTAAAAAGTTTTGTCTAGATTTTTTTACACAACTTTTTGCATGAAATTATCAAAGATTGGTGTCGAGGACATGTTACACGATGAGTGCAGACAACCACAATTTTTTTGAAAGACTAAAAAATGCAAGATATAAATGTTTAGAACTATATTTTTTTTACTAGCTTACTAGTCAGATGCGTACTGAGTGCGCATCTGAATTGTTAGGTTTCGACCACGAATGCTTGAAGAGTGTGTACTACTGCTCTTCTCGGCAAATATCTGTTCTGTTCTGTTCTGTTTTAACTGTTTTGCTGTGGAGATGTTGAGGTGCCTATTGCCTCGGCTACTCCATATCACAAAGTTCTGCAGCGAAAAATAAAATAATAATACAGAACGGTGCCCAAAAATTAACAATACGGAAAAGAAAAAAAACACATAATAGCACACTGAAACCAATTCAAAACACATGCCAATACACAGTTTTCTTCACGCAGTTCACACAGTCATAAACTACTTACACGCACACATTACTACTCTAATGTCAATATATGCAAATATCATCCGCAGTCTTCCTCACTTCAAAAAGAGCTTGAGCAAAGCCGGTTTTACTGCATGAATTAAAAACCATGCCTGCCATTTTACTTGCAACCACACGTTTCCTTTCTAAACGACAAATGGCAAAAGCCTGGGACTCACTTGTCAGCTAACCGTATCAGTTTTTTTTTTCATTAAGAGAATGCGTGACCTGAAGCTATTAAACAATATCATGTGCGTGTTTACGCTCCCCAAACCAACTTCTAATGGTTTATACACATATAGGCCAAATATGTAGCACCATTCACTGTGGTTGCTGATTTTTTATTTATTTTATTTATTTGTGGAATACTGCAGGGCAAAAAGACCCAAGCAGGAGGGGCACAAACACAACCACAAGATCAGTACATGAGTGACACAGCTTCACTAAAATACATCTGTGTAAGAGAAGAGCGAGTAGAAGAGAAACATCAAGTGATATTGGGAGGGGGGGGGGGGGGTCAAGATTCACAGAATTAAACATTGGGTTCATCAAGATCGAAGGTTTGGAGGAAATCAGAAGGCAAGTTATTCCATTCTGTTACAGTTCTCGGAAAAAAGGAAAACTTAAATAAATCTGTCCGCGCAAAATACGGAGTTAAAGATCGGACATGAGAATGACGAGTTTGCCTGGTCGAAACTGGGGTAACGTAATGTGATGGGTCTAGCCCAAGTTTATTGTTAATTAGTGAGTCCAAGAATTTTAGACGGAGAAGCTGGCGCCGTGGTTGTAGCGTCTGGAATTCGTTATCTCGCATTAGTTCAGTAACTGATGTACCACGACCATACTTCGAGTAAATAAAACGCACTGCTCGTATTGGAATCTTTTCGAGGGAATATATGTTAGACTTAGTATGCGGATCCCATACAATACAATCGTATTCAAGCTTTGGACGTAATAAAGTGTTATAAGCTAATTTGTTGGCACCTAAGGCGTGACACAATGAAAACTGTACGAAGAGTGGCAGTTGACACTATATACAAAACTTGACATCTATAGTATTGGTGACAAGTCTCATTTTCGACACAGTGTCAAACAGTTTCCATAAGGATGGCAACATCACTAAATGAAAGATTGACGCAAAGCGGCAAGTTATGGTCCACAATGAATGTATAGAGATGGCAATGTCTCTGATTTTTGATAAAAAAATCAGATGAGCGAGTGCTGAGCGCTGGTCAATAGTACTCACGTGTAGTGCACTTCGAGCAGGATGCCGGATTCGTCCATCTCGCAGGCCGCCCTGCTGCAGGCGCCGATGGCCCAGCTCTCGTTGACCGCCCTCGCCGAGCAGCTACTCACGTCGTAGCACATGCCCGGAAAGTCTGCGATGCATTGGCAGAAACCAGGAGACCCGAGGTTAGCTCTGCCGTCACTATTTCCGCGCGCGTGTAAGCGTCAGTCGTGGTCACACTTCACCCACGATGTAACCAAGCTCCCGTTGAGTATCCATCATGCTTCGCCGTTAATGGTTAATAGAGCTGTCGCCTGGGCGCTTCTGATTTTATTCTACGCACCGTGGTGCTCTAAGTGGTTACAGTGCACGACTGCTCATCACAAAGATCTTTGGATCGAGTCCCTGCCTGCGGCAGCTGCACTTCGATGGAGGCCGAAACGCTTGAGGCCCATGTATTTGAATCGATTGATTGATTGATTGATTGATTGAGAGATATGTGGGGTTTAACTTCCCAAGACCGCCATATGATTATGAGAGACGCCGTAGTGGAGGGCTCCGGAAATTTCGACCACCTAGGGTTCTTTAACGTGCACCCAAATCTGAGCACATGGGCCTACAACATTTCCGCCTCCATAGGAAATGCAGCCGCCGCAGCCGGGATTCGATCCCGCGACCTGCGGATCAGCAGCCAAGTACCTTAGCCACTAGACCACCGCGGCGGGGCATGTATTCGGACTGAGGCGTATACGTTAAGGAACTCAAGGTGGTCTCAATATACGGAGCCGTCCATTACGATATCCCTCACAAATGCAGGCAACGTGTCGATTTAAAGGTTTGATTGATTGATTGATATGTTGGGTTTAACGTCCCAAAACCACCATATGATTATGAGAGGACGCCGTAGTGGAGGGTTCCGGAAATTTCGACCACCTGTGGTTTTTTAACGTGCACCCGATTTAAAAGGTTTGTTTTCTTTGTTAGACACAACATAAACGAAAACTAACGGTCATAACTCATAATAATATCGCCTTTTCTGATCGTAAAAACCAGCAGGTATTTAGTACATATCATTTTATTCGAACGGGATCGAGAAACAGTGATTCACACACAAGCAGACTTCGTGGTTAAGCAGGCGTGCTTGGAAATGAGTCTATCGATCTGTCTATTTGCACCGAGTGCGGTTTTCCTAATTCAGGTACAATTCAAAGGCGTAAGGGTTGCCATTTACAAACGTCGCGACAGTTTCACCCGTTCAACTGGCTACGCTGAAAGCTGGTTATACTTTCTTAACAAAAATTACTGGTAACAGTCCAGTTCAGAGCCAACAATTTTAGTAGGGCGTAAAGAATATCTCGATCGCGTATGGTAATGCAGCATCATGTCCTATTTTGCATTCGACAGGCTTTTGTATGCGGCAGCGAGCTGAAGCAACAGTGACATATAAAACTAAAATTGTGCCGTTGCATAAAAGATGCGGCGATTATCAGTTGCATTGGTCATTGGACGAAGAGAGTGAACAAAAGAAAAATTGTTACAGAAAAGAAAAACGCAGCAGGATCGAGAATTATTCACGAAAAGGATCAATAGCGCAGGGAAAGTTTGATCATGGGGCAGAGAGCTGTAATCTGTATGTGGGCGAGATGCTTGGAGCCTAACGACTCTGTATATAATCACACGAGACGATTCCCGCAGCCGGACGGTTCTTTTTATTTTATTTTCTAATCTTCTTTTCTTTCGTCCCTTCTTCTTTCTGAAATACGTTGCCACGGCATTAGCGCTCGCATTTCACTAAGGAAGGCAGGCTTTTCAAAGCAACTGAAAGCCCGATTCTGAGAGAAGGAAGAAGGCGTCTTTGTGACCTCGTTTGCGTAAAGAAAAAAGGACCGGTCCACGGAAAGTTGTTCGTTTTATTTTATAGGCGTTCTATTTTTCGGGTCTTCTTAACGTTTCGTTCGTGAACGCGATAATAGGAAGCGGATGCTTGACTTATCCAGCGGGGAAAGCTCCGCCGCCTAACAAGGCTTGCGCGACGTCTCGAGGAATTACGTGATTTCTTCTCGGAACGTTGCTTTTGTCAGAGCGACACAATTTACTGGAACGACGGACACGCGTAACTTTAGAAGTTTACAAAGTTTACGTGAAGCCTACAAAACTTGCGGGGTTTTGAACCGGTCGGACGAGGGATGCCAATAACGTGTTCGAAAGCCACGCGGTGGCTGTTCAGCTCGGCCAAATGTGGAGAACGATCCGCGTGGTGGAATTTCTTTTCGTGAAAGAGAAACCGGGAGGCAAAACGTATAATCTCCCATTCGCATTATCAGAAAGAACCTCGAGAAATACTGAAGTTGTCGTACCAGGCGACAAATTCAACAGATAATGTTCGTGTGATGTTATAGAGATACTATTTCGCATATAGCATTCTGCGCAGCAACCTACCGTTCGACTTCACGATAGGAGTCACGATCAACGTACGTACTTTTCTTCACCAACATTGAAATTGATAGTCGGTATACGTTTTTTTTAAATGTCCGTAAAATGGTTATTTTCTGAGCTTTTTTGTGTGTGTGTGTGTGAAGCGACCATTTCGTCACTAAACCGAACATTTGCACTCTCTCGGACCTCTCCCCGGCTAAATAACTCCGCGCTGTAGCAGCTACAGTATCTACTCTGTTGCGTGCGAGAAACCAAGGCATGCGTTTGTAATATAACGCCACCTGTTTTAGAATCACCAGTAAAAGTTTACTTTTGCACTTGCATAATCCGATTTCAGGGGGAAAACGTGATCGCATTAGCCGTATATATGCATTGTTTCTATGCAATGTTGGCCGGGGAAGGCAAAAGAAATCACGTCATCCCGAAAATCGCATGCAGAACAGTGTCAGCGAGATTTGTCTGTATACGAGCTCGCCACCGTGCGCTTTTATTTTCCTTCCTTCGCTGTTCTAAACTTGCTGACGCCTTTTTATGCAGCACTTCACAAATCCCAGGACTGACTGAGATACTTTTACATCAAGCTTTTTCTGACAAGCGTTTTCTTCGTGACAACCTCACTCCTGGTGCGGGAAAATTTCCCATAGCATGCGCATCGTGAAGTCCAGAGCAATCTACCTGGAAAGAGCGACAGTGCGAATCGAACGAAGTCTAGCAGCCACGTTCGTCGGATTGCCTCTCCCCACTTCTATCTCTCACACACTTATTCATTTGCTTAAAACGATAGGCTTTCTTGGGGACCTTCGACGACAAAATTTTGATCTGTCTGTTTTCCTGTCTGTCTGTCTTTACACTTGTCTGTTTGTCCGCGGTAACAATACTCTAAACGGCACCAAACGATACTTCAAACGGCCAACCCCATCCGCAGTGCTTATCAATATTGCTCAAGTTTCAGTGTTCATACTTGTGCGATTGTCAATTAAAAAAACAATTATTGCGCATATCTGAGGCACCAAAACAACAAGTTAATATTTTGTATGTGTCTTTATACTAGAGAAGGTCCATATAAGTAATTCTAAGGACCGTAGCGTTTATCACGCTGCGCTGACACTGCAGCGCGATGCTCGAAAAGGCAAGTGTTTGTAACGCTTTGCTAAGACGACACTGCGGTGGCACCTGCCCGTCGCTTTGCGTTCTACACCTTATCGCCTCCGAGACAGGCACGCTTTTTTCTCCGTGGGCACGCACGCCTTCCTTCATTTTCGAAGATAACTGCCAGATGGCGCTCGTGTCTAACGTGCCTCAATGCGCTCGTTCGCCTTCGCTGAACGGATGCAGATACTAACGAAGCACTTCCACCATACAATTCATGAATTTTCTCGAGCAGAACATCAAATAAACGTTTTGTTCACTCTCTCCACGCAAGACTGTCGTCTTTCAATGATATTCGCAGTGAAACATGCAGATACGGGGCCAATTATTGTTTGTTTATTATTTATTTATTCACCGAATCAAGATAAATGCTGCAGTACAAAAATAGTCTGGCGTATATATGTACTGTATACTAAACAGACGGAGTACATGATCACTAGAAGCACGATAACAATATAATCGTAGACTTGGGCAGGCAGCTGCCCTCCTCTCTGTATATGCAGATGGTAGTGAAGGGTTCGTCGATTTTGACTGACCATAGGCAGGGCTTTGTGGGAAGCACGTCATCGCTTAATTTTCACTTTTTAATCAAGTGCGAAGCGTTTTTTTTCCAAGATCGACCAACTTGAGAGGGGAAATCGCTGCTATAAAACTCCCCTCCCCTTAATGAGGAACCATGCTCATGACTATTGAAGTGACGGTCACTGCAAACGAAACGTTACTTCGTAACAGCGAAGACAACACAGCGACGCCCAAAAGACGATCTTTAAAAAGAAGGTTGTGAACTGCAACGTATCTTACATTCCGAGAGGACATCAAATGCTAAGGGAGCGGATGGATGCAAAGACAGGACATTAAACGGTATAACCGACTTTGAAAGGCTGGCTGAACGACGTCATGGTTGCAATGAATGCGATTTCTTCCCCTTCCAGGTGGATGTAGTGCTTGACTATTTCATAGGGGATTGCACACAGCGCTGCCCTGTATGCAGTGCACGCCTTTGAGAACGGCGTGTTCGAAGAATGACTCAGTGTCGTTGCAGACGCCGTGCCACGCGTAGTCGCTTGCGTAACTCGGTCACGATCGCACGAGGGCATAAGGGCGGCTGGGCGTGACAGAGCACGCATTAAGAAAGATACATGGATGGCTTTTCAACCGGTTCACCACCCACTCGATCAAAAAAAAAAAAAGAAAAGCCAAAGTCGTAGATGCGAGAGAAAATAATGTCACATAGAAATGGAGCACATGTGGAAATTTCTCCGCACGTCACGTGGTCATCGACGCCGTTTCAGTTTGTTTTACACATCGTATTGGCATTCAGTTTATTTCCTTCATGAAAAAAAGAGAGAGAGGGGGGGAAGAAATCGAGTTGGGAACCTGAGAACGCATCGAGGAGATTCCATTCAGGCAGACCATTAGAATTCTGAGAAAGGGCAAGTTGTAGAGGTGCGACATAGTGTTCGAACGTTTCTATGTTTCGTTTTCTTTTGCCCGGATTTAATGACCCAGAGACGCATGCTAGTGACAGTGGCTTTCCCTTACTTCGAAACTATGTACCTATCCACG